TCTCCATACAGGAGGCGTCTTGAAGCTGTCTGGACATTTCTGGACATTTATGGTTTGATTTCTTTGTATGTATGGATCACTTGGGTTGTTACCAACATCTGGTGAAAATTTCATGTCATTAGCACCTCTAGTAATATATTTACTGAGAAAAATGTTGACGTGTTCAATACTTATTTTACCTGCTGTTATCATGAGTTATTTGTAACAACCCTAACATATCCTGAACATTTCATGAAAAACTGTTTAGAGGCTGAGCAGCTCCTTCAATCTGAGACTTAAACATCCTCGCTGCAGGATGGAGCACATCCGTAGGTCATTCATTCCAACTGCAGTTAGACTGTATAACACATCATGATGTTATCAGTCACTTGGATAAATCACCTACACTGCCATCACTAATATGCACCTTTACATACATTCATTTTTGTTCTGTACTCTACAGTGTATATACGTATATAAATTTGCATAAGTGTTTATGTATATGTGTATATGTGCATTGGTACATGTACATAACTATATATCAGTGTATATTGTGGGGTTGTTTTTGTTTGTTATCTTTTATTTATCTTTCATTATTCTTCTGACCCTCTCCTCTATTAGGCTGCAGTAATGTGCAAATTTCCCCACTGTGGGATCAATAAAGTTTTATCTTATCTTATCTCTTTCTTGTGCACAGATGAACACATCAAACTACTGAAAGCTAAACCTCATTAGTGTGGTAAATTATAATATCCAGGTAATAGAACAAACAGGTAAAAATAAACAGTAATAATATTTAGTTAACAATAAACAGAAAATAATAAATAGGTAGGAACAATCAATTAACAATTATAATACATTAATAATAACCAAGCAATAATAACAAACAAGTTAAAAAAATCAATTAATAAAAATAATCAGGTAATATTAACAAACAGACATGTTCTCTAACTTTGCACAGCTATGATCTGTATTTGAGTAAATCACGTGACCTCTTCATGTTTTTTTTTTTACAGAAGTTGTTCCATCTAAACACTGAGCTGGCGTCACACGTGCAGAGATGATTCAAAGTGTGTCCTTTTAATGAAGAAGGATATTGTTATCCGACATAAAGCTCGGCCCTACTCACTCAGTGAAGCAGCCGTCAGCTCGGAGCAGGGAAGCCTCTCTGCTGGCCGGGTCCCACAGCTCCAGCTGTCCCCCTGAAGACAGGCAGCAGAGCAGACAGCTCGCAGGACACAGCTGTGCCTTCAGGATGTCCTCCACCTGTCCGCAGCTGTTCTCAGGGACAACCGCCACCTCCATGGAGGGACAACCCCGGGGAGGCTCAGCCTCCTCAAACATCTCAGCTCTGTTTACATGCTAAACATTACAAACTACACTTCCTGTTTTCACAGCTGAGCTGCTGGAGTCACGCGCCGTGCCGACTTCCGCTTCTGTGCATTAGCGCCACCACGTGGTGTGGAGAAGAAACATCTCACATCTGTGTTCTGAATAGAGAAGCGCCTTATGGACGATCGAAACTGACATAATTTGAAATTAAAGCAAAAAATATATAAATGGTCCAAATAAATAAATGAATACGCTTAAAATGCACCAGTGGTGGGCACAGTTTCCTGAAACACTATAGCACTAATAGGGGAAATAAATTCCTGATTAGTGCTTTAGGGCTTTTGCTAAATTTAAAAATTATTAGTGGATTAGCACTTGTTAAATTTATATGCTAAATTTAGAAGAACTAACTGAGGTCTATAAATGTTATTGATCAACATTAATGTTAACAGCTGAGGGTGAAAGCTGTATTTTGTTCATATATGTGCCACTCATCCACTAGGTAACAATATATTAACAATATATGAACCCAAATATGGCTGTGGATTGTGAATTATAAGTCTTAAGAGACCAACATGGCAATATGTGACTCATGTTGTTTGTTGAAGAATGTTCATGGGTTGACTGGGTTATTTTAGTGCTTTAGAATTAGCTTTGGATTGGATGGGATGGTCCTGCTTGTTTGTCTCCACAGAGGACTGTGAAAATGGACACAGCCTTATATGATATTACACTTTCAAAATAAAGTCAGAATTTTAATTTTCAACTGGTGATTCTGTCACTTTTTTTGTGATCCTGTCACTTTCAGAACACTCAACTGTTCTTCTTTCATAATAAAACTTTCACATTAGAAAGTCTTGGGCTTACTGGAAGTCAGTTATTAATTATTCAGCTCCAGACTGGATCTTTAACAATTCTGCTGGTAAAATAAAGGTGAAATAAATAATAATAAAAAGTAAAAACAAACAGTATGAAAAATACAAAGTATTTCAGCATGAAAGCTTGTAGTTTTTATGAGTGACAGTGTCGTGTATCACAACTACATCTCTGGTGTTTGTAGCAAACCAAACCGTGTAAAAATTGGGTAGAAATTAGGTGAACAGCTTACAAATAAATGAATTGGGGTGAACGATGTATGGCAGACCATTTTAACATAAAATCAGCTTTGTCTGGCTATCTGTAATTACAATCTAGAAATCTAAAAAGGAGTTTTGGCTTTGAAGAACTACATTTTAACAAAAAATGGTAACTGAAGATATCTATATTTACATTCTTACTAGTAACAGTCAGAACAATTCAAGATAATTTAGATGGAATTTTGACTAATCAAAATTGCTGTGCAATTTAGGGGCTGCATCCTCCTGAGTGCCCATTTGTGTGCTGTTTACGTTACTGCCCCACGCCAAGTGCTATCCCAATTTGTAGGCCCCTTCTCACGTGGTTGACGAATGTAGCCAACAAAACACCAAAAAATGAGGGATGCATCCGAGTCCATTCTGAGTCCAACTCTGCAATTTTATTTGCACCTGTCGAACCTTTATGTGACATCTAAAATACATTTAAACATATTGAACAATGATGTAATTTAAGACATCTTTAATTAGAATTATGACTTGTCAGAACTAAAAGTGAGACATCTTTAAGGCAAATAATGACTTGTCAAAATTAACCAGTCTTGTAAAAAGTACCTCAAAGTGGTACTTGAGTAAAAGTACAGGTATCTTACCATAAAATTACTTTGGTATAAGTTAAAGTCTCCTACTGTATAAGAATATTTGAGTAAAAGTCTTAAAGTATCTGATATTTTTTGTACTTAAGTATCAAAAGTAAATTTCTGACATAAATTGTACTTAAGTATTAAAAGTAAAAGTTTTGAGTAAAAATGAGTGGTTAGATTTTCCAAAATGATATTTATTGGGAGGTGGTTTCCACAAAAAAAAAGTTTTTCTAAATGAATATTAAAACATTAATACTAAAAAATTCAGGATGCACTAATGTAGCTGTTTCAGGAATATACTGTATGTGTGTATGTACTGTATATGTATATGTATATGCTTGTGCATATGTATATGTTTATGCATATGTACATGTATATGTATATGTATATGTATATGTACATGTATATGTTTATGTATATGTACATGTATATGTATATGTGTATGCATATGTATATGTATATGTATATGTATATACCACATATATCTTCAGGCTACATAAGTCTGATATGTCCTGCTGGAGTGTGACATGATACTGTATGTGACTTGCAGCTGTGATGAATTGTGTACAAACTAATACGGTGTAAAAATGTTCTATCTATATTTATGTGTCTCATTCAGCCACAATTACATTCACTCTATCAAGGAGGCACAGTTTATCTTTACAGTATTTCTTTTAATAACAATACGAATTAAAACAAGCAAAAATGAACTACAAGTAACGACTTAATACTTTTTGCCCTTTTTAAGAATGTAAGAAGTAAAAAGTAGCCTGAAAAATAATTACTCAAGTAAAGTACAGACACCCAAAAATTCTACTTAAATACAGTAAAGAAGTATTTGTACTTAGTTACTTTACAACTATTAACTTAGAGATATAGAACTATCTTTTTAATAATTCATTTTAAAATATCGTTAATTGAAGCCTACATACAAATTAATAATAAATCTGATGTAATTTATACTAGTCAGAATGCAATAACGGATATCTTTAAAACAATTTTTCCAGTCATAATCCAATTTCAGACATCTGGATCGAAAGCGTAGTGAAGTCGGTTTTATGTTGAAAGGGCCTGCCACAGTTGGCCGTTTCCGGTTCGTCACTTCCTGCCCGTGTCTTCCGGTCTCAGCCTGCTGTCTTATCTCTGTTATTTTTCGTTGATCATGGGTTTTTCTACAGAATGGATGTCGTTTTTAGCCTTGTTTCTTTAACTGTCACTAAGGTTCTACAGTTGTCTGGGTTCGTCCACAGCAGGAATGACCTGAGGACCAAAAAGATGGAAGAAAAAGCGTTAGAAGTGTACGGTGAGCTAATCTGACAACCAACACTACACGGTCTGTGTCTAATGTCCGACAAAAAGTCCTTCATCCTGACCAAATACATTTAACATGAGCATCTTTACCTTTAGTTTTACTGTAGTTTAGCGTTTTTATCCTGACAACCAAGTGATGCTGAATGACTTAAATGAATAAAATATGGCAAAAGTCATTTTACAACTAGTTTCCAACAGAACTGTTGTCAACAGTTTATTTACTGAGTAAACATGGATAATTAATATCCCAGATAAAACTTCAAACAACGCTCAAGTCAGTAAAAACAACAGAAAAAAGATAAAATATCCTACACATAAAAAAGGTTTATTATAATTAACTTGAATTAAATTAAAGCAAACTTTGTACCAAAGTTTTTATGTTGTTCCTAAATTTGTTTTTGATCTAACTAGCTATACATTTTAGGATTATTAGCTAGACAGCTTGTTGGCTATCTGAACAAAACTTTTTTTGTTGTATTTTTATTGAAATATGTCGATATTCATAAAAATTTAGGATATTTTTCATTTAATAAATAAAACATTATTAATCCTCCATAAGATGTGTTTTAGGTGAAAGTTAGAAATATGTTTTGGAAGCTGGAACATTCATTGGGCCTCATGCAAGAACATGTTCGTATTCTTCTCCTAAATTTCTCTTACTTTTGTTCGTACGAACA